AAAAACTTTATCTAAACAAACCCACACAGCCAGCACAAAACCTCCTGCTACCCTCTAAAACAAACACAAACGAGTCAGTTTTACTCTCAGTAAAACTCTTCTCTGATCTCTAATCCCTGGCAGGCCATCTGCGTGAAGGACGTCTCTCCAAACCTGAAGAGCTGCGAGCTGCTGCGGGACGGATCCGGCACCTTCCAGTGTAAGGCCGACGTCTTCCTCAGCCTGGACTCCCTGGACTGCCTGTCCGCGTGAGTCCCGTCTCTGCCCTCCACCTCCTCCAAATCAGCAACACCTCATCCGAAAAGGGAAGAAGAAGAAGAACCAATACATCCAAACGGAGGGATGGATGAGGATGAGGATGTGGAGGACGAAAGCTTTAAGAAAAAATGGAGGTGGGAAGGAATCCGATCCCTGTCGACGCCGGACCGCTGCAGACTCTGAATGTCCTCTTTTTAAGTTGAAAAAAGAAAAAGAAAAAGAAAAGCGTTGTTCAGTTTAGCTTTGGTTGCGTAAAAGAAAAACTAAAGAAAAAAAATCTTTGCTAAAGCGTGTTAGTCGAAGCCATTTTCATTCCAGGAGACTTTCCATCCTCACTGTTTGACCCCGTCATTTACCTGCGTTTCCAGGCTGTAAAATGACCAGAAAGTGTGCAGATTTCCTGGAAAGTACTTGTATTTATTTTATCTATTAAAAATGAACAAACACTGGTAATTTGTCTGGTTTTGTGATCTGAATGAACTGAGATATAAATCAAGATCAGCAATAGTAGTAATAGTTTCTAAGAAACAAATCTAACATGACGGCTGTTAAAAAACACTATGAATGCCTTTAATTTATTTTGTACTGAAGGCTCAGAGCACAACACAATATATTACATTAAAAGACAATAAGAGTTTAGGAAAACAGGAGGAGGCAGAATGCAGCAGAAGCCCATTTCTCACAGGCTGCCATATTCAAACAAAGGCACTTTACATTCAGGCACTTTGGGGCTTTTTCTTTTCCTGTCTATCAGTCATTATTTCACTAACAGTCTCGGGGGATCCCTCACAACAAAGTCAGGCAAAGTTAATTCTACAAATCACACACGAAAGATTAGAGAGGAGTCGGGGGGGAACGGTGACGGTCCCAAATGAAAGGCGGGGAAATTAAACTTGAGTCAGAGGCGCGTCTCTCCGTCTCTGTCGAGTTTGATGAGAGTCAGAG